AAAATAAATGGGCAAGTAAAAGGTAAAATATATATTTAGGATATATATATATCATTATTTCAATACTTTTAAATGGAGAATGAAATCGATTCATTTATTATTTTGGTATTATTTTTAATTGAATATAAATTATATTTATCTTTGATGATTCTAAAAAATTAACCATGTTAAATTACATTTAGAGGAGGAGGTTGATGTTGTAACATTTCATTGTAAAATAATTATAATATAATAGCTAATTAAAAAACCCAGTCGGAATAGTGGTATTTATATTTTAGTCCATTATCAATCGGATGAGATTAGATATTAATTTTTTGCTAACTCGGGTCAAACATTTCATATTTTAATTAATAAATCGTTAATTTATAATTAAAATTCAATTTATGAATAAAATTCAATTTATGAATAAAAAAAGTATTTGTTTTAGTATAGAATTAAAAAGGTCGTTATAAATACTAAATACTTTTTATTTTTTAGATTTAAAAAATATTAAATATTTTTTGAAACGTTCAAATAAATATAGATACAAAAAAGTATCTGTATTGCCTCAACCCTGATTTTAGATTGTTTATTATTTTACAATTTTGTGTTCATTTTAGATTATATATTATTTTATAGTTTTGTTTATTCAATATTGTATATTATTTTACAATTTTATATTTATTTTAGATTGTATATTATTTTACAATTTTATTCATTTTAGATTGTTGCAAAGAATATGGGTGGTGACGATATGGTGCGAGGTTCGAGTCAGTAAAAATATATTTTATTAACTCATTTCTTTTTCTTTTGTTAAGGTATTTATACATTTTCTAACATATAAATTAGAATATAAAACGAAATACAAAAAAGTAAAATAATATATAAAAAAGTAAGGTTACGCCGTTTATAAAATAAAATTAGATTATAACAAAAATAATAAAAGTTCAAATGCAAAAAACAAAAAATAAGATAAAGGAATAATGCAACATTCTCCCTCTTCTGATAATTTCATCGGAGAAGTCATAGAGAGTTTGTTGTTCAAGTGGTTTATAATTTTGGTAATCAAGTTGTATCACAAATCATCATAACGTTGGCTTGTCCAATCGTTGGTTTGTATAAATCGATTTTGCACGTTGGTTTGTTTAATCACAAGCTTGATATCCATATAATTGTCTCCATTAATCATAGCTTGTTTGATCGTACTCAATTGTTAATTATCATTTTTCCAGTTTGGAATTTGGAATAAATCAGAATATGTAATTTGGAATAGTTGATCAAATCAAATATATGAATAATATGCACGAATAAAATTTTGAATTTCGGAACAATAAAATATGTAATAATATGTAATAAGGAATGATAATTTAAGGAATAAGGAATAAAATCCAAAATAAGGAATGATAAATGATTATATTATTTTTTAGGTGTTTATACTTTTAGCGTTTTACATTTTTTACGTTTTACATTTTTTAGCGTTTCATTATTTAATTACTAGCGTTTTAATATTTAATTTATTTTTATTTATTTTCAAACTCCGAGGTTAAAATATGCAAATATTATGCACATTTCCCTCTCTTAAAAAAAAAATTTAAATTTCACACCCTAATTTTAATTCAAAAAAAAAAAAATTCTTCATAAGATAGTTTTGAAAATTCACCATATATATTTAAATATATTTTTCTAAAATGAATGTTTTTTTACATAACTTTTTGTTATCATATTAAGTATTACTTATAAGGGTTATTTGAATCAATCATGTGATTTAAAAATTACATTTTAACATATTTAAAATTAAGTTTTATCTTCTTGTTTAGGATTTTTAATATTTTTAATTATATTTAAGAATTCATCTTTAGGTTTATGTTAATTTACAACAATTGGTCATCATTCAAGAAATCAAAAAATATCAATATTATCCATTATGATTTTACATTTTAGTAATTTTAAAAATTTATAACATGCCTTTATCCTGGCATAAAATTTTAATTTATAATACTTCTTACGTGGATTAGAATAATAAGTAACCATCATTGGTCTCACAAAATAGAATTCATAACCTATCGTTCAACTTCCATATCAGTTCTTCCTAGGTTGTCACATTAGGTTAGGTGCTGGCTATTATATTCCAGTCCAACATCCAGAGCCGGGACACCATAAAGAAAGAAGCTTTTTGCATGAAAGAACGTACTAAGGTTTGATTCTTGGTAATCTCAGTAGTTTAGGTAGTCACAATAGATAAGGTAGTCATAACATCACAATAGATAAGGTAGTCATAATAGGTAGTCATCTCCATAGGTTAAGCACAAGGTAGAGTCATAATAGGTAGTCATCTCCATAGGTTAAGCAATCAACACAATAGGTAGTCATATAAATAGAGTCATCTCAATGGATTAAACAATCGTCACAATAGGTAGTCTAAATAGAGTCATCTCAATGGATTAAGCAATCATCACAATAGGTAGTCATATAAATAGAGTCATCTCAATGGATTAAACAATCGTCACAATAGGTAGTCATCTTTTTCTAGTCCACCACCCAAAGGGCACCATGTAAAGAATATGGGTGGTGACGATATGGTGCGAGGTTCGAGTCAGTAAAAATATATTTTATTAACTCATTTCTTTTTCTTTTGTTAAGGTATTTATACATTTTCTAACATATAAATTAGAATATAAAACGAAATACAAAAAAGTAAAATAATATATAAAAAAGTAAGGTTACGCCGTTTATAAAATAAAATTAGATTATAACAAAAATAATAAAAGTTCAAATGCAAAAAACAAAAAATAAGATAAAGGAATAATGCAACAACAGTGTTGTGATGATTTAATGTAACATATTAACGATTTAATTTAAACACATGCATATATAATTATGATCCTTACAAATGTACAACAAAAGAAATAATTTAATTATATATGCATGTATTTAAATTAAATCCTCATTATGTTACATTAAATCATCACAACACTGTATATTTCTTTATAATTTTGATCATTTTAGATTATATATTATTTAAAAATTTTGTGTTCCATATTATTTTACATTTTTCTTTATTTAATATTATACATATTATTTTACTTCGTATATTTAATATCGAATAATATTTTACTAATTTGTTTTATTGTATATCATTTTACAATTTTTTTCATATTAGATTGTACATTATCAATATGATTTGTTGTAAAACATTTCCATATATTTGTAACAACCTTCTTAAAAAATTGTTTAACTTGCGATATTTTTTTTAAATGGTATGGTATCAATATGTTATTTTTACAATAATTATAGCAAGTCAAACATTTTATAAGAAATTTGTTACAAATATATGGAAATGTTTTACAACAAATCATACACACACTGTATATTATTCTATAATTTTGTTTTTAATCGTATATTAATTTATAATGTTGATTATTTTGGTTTGTATATTATTTTAAAATTTTATTTATTTTAAATTATATATTGTTTTACAATTTTAATTTATTTTGAATTGTATATCATTTTATAAATTTGTTCGTTTTAGTTTTTATATTATTTTACAAGTAGCCGATCACCCCAAAATGACGGTTGGATATCAATTTTCTCGTTTATTTTATTTTATGATTCATGAATTAGAAATTTGACGACTCGGACATTTACCTTAATTTTGATGAAAGGTAATTCTGAAATTTGCCCAAAATCACCTCTTATCCACAACTACACGAAAACTACAAATATTTTTGTATATAAGGATAAATCGCTTTATAATATTTTAATAAAACACAAAAAACTAATAACGTTCAACGCAATACATCGTTATTCCAAATAATGGCAAAAATTGATGCTTATCTGCTAGTATTTAATAATTGCGTGTAAAGCACATGTTTTTGCTTGCTATCTTACAATTTTCGACCATTCTAAATGCAAAGGTAAAAAAAGATATATGCCTGGACGATTTCTTAACTTATATAAAAGGATAATCAATAGCTGCCCAATTTTGTTTACTTTTTTTTGGGCTTACTAAGCAGTCCATGGTAAGGTCTATGATCATAATAAATCGAATAATTTGAAATTCTACATTGGCTGATTATATAGTGTTCCATATCTACATTTTAGTAAAATGCATTTTTTTTCGATAAATTAATTCTTCAGTTTAGTGTTGTTAAACGGCTCGTTTTGAGCCGATTTTTAAAAACGGCTAACTCAATATTTTAGCCAGAAAAATATTGCCTAAGTTTCGAGATTTCGCTAATAGTTGTCCAAACCTTTGTTCCTCCTACAAACAAAATCTTCATGCTTGCGTAATATTATTCTGGATGAAATATTGGGTTAGCCGTTTTTAAAAATCAGCTCAAAACGAGCCGTTTAACAACACTACTTCAGTGCTGTATTCTTCCATATCAACAATAATAATATTAAATATAACCCTGCATTCACAGTTAGCGGGAATTAGCAGCGAAGTATATAAAAATACCAAAATAGAGCATATTTTGATTCGCCGTAAATTCGGACGAATTCCCTTCAGAGAATACAAAAATGTGGCGTATTTTGTATAATTCGTCGCGAATTCGCTCTTACTATGGAGGGATATTAGGATAATACCTTTATTTACATTTTTATAATGTGATCTCCTATTTTAAAATTTAAGAAATACGATTTTATTTTTTTAAAAATGGATACTAAAAATAAGACACTAAAATACTCAGCGATATCTTGAATTAATTGGATATTTTGGTAATTATGTGTTCGCCTAATTTTGTTTTCCTCTATAGCTTATTTCAAAATTCTTTCCAAATTTTTTGCAAATATTATTTTCTTAATAATTTTGGATAATCTTTTTATTGTCAGAAAATTTATTATTTTATAGTATCTCTTTTTAATATTTGTTATAATATAAATAAACACTATCATGTCTAATTTTAATATATATATAGTATTACAGATCTAATATACAAAAATTTAAAAAATTTATATACATATGGTACATTTCTAATAACATCTAGATTAATATAATTCATATTGATAACATAAGGTGTATAAAAGTATATAAATGTGAGAATTAATTTGCGTAAATATAAATTGATTGTAGAATATTATAAAAAGGAATGATTTCGCTTTTTATTTTCGTGTATTGTATTTTTTCCCTAAAAAACTTTTCTAAAAATTACCATAAAGTGCATTTTTTAATGGGATTCATGATTGATTTGGCTGAACAGTTATATGCTTCTGAAAACTGTTTTAAATTCGATACAACTCCGATTATTCTGTCCATTCAATATAATAAAAATGATAATTATATTTTTAAGAAATAAGAAGTTATATTAAAGTCGCACAAATTCGCGAGCAGAGTTGAGTTTTGAACATAGAGGTACATTGAAAACGTTTTAAACGGCACGTTAAGAAATCTTTTATAAGAAGGTCTAAAACAATTGTGCTTGATACAGTTTTTAACTTTATTAAAAGGAATTGAAAGTTGGTAATTATTAAATTTTAAAAGATGTCTATCAGGACACTAATTCAATTTAGCTGGGGGAATTATGATTCGCTTGGTTAATTATAGAGGACATATAAGTTTAGGTTTAGAAAGAAGATTCAAAATAAAAATAATTCATTTAATGATACATTTATATACTATATATATTTTAAATTTATAAATAACCTGTATTTGTTTGGGCTGTGAAAATCGGTCTTAATTTGTAAATATTGTGCCTCGGGTGTTTCTTTAGAACAGAAAGCCTAATTAGTATATTAAATTTATAGAAAATTATTATATTATAAACTTGGGCAAAAGCAAGATAGAACAGTTGATCATCAGTTATATTAGAAATAGAAGTGAATGTAGCAATCTTGTTCTTGGCCTGATAATTTTTTAATGCCTAATTATAAAAATAAAATAGTTTCATAAAAGTATTAAAATTTATATCGAAAAAATAAAATACTGGGTTATAAAAAAAAAATTGTTATTATTATAGTGCTTAAGAAATGGAATCGTTTTGGTTTTTTTTGGTGTCCTTTTAATAATGGATATCTAATGTTATCCACTATGTTGAAAAACTTTTTATTTTGCGTTAAAATCAAAATAAGAAAAACAGATGGCTAAACGCTTTTGCTTAATTTGTAAGCACTATTATAATGAAATAAGAGGGGATTGGAACGCGATATTTGGCCTTGGTTTGTGTTGATCCGTTATTTAAAAATATTTGAAAACGGAGGGATTAAGATTTATTCCCCTTTTATTTATTTTATGATTATATATATTATAGTAAGCTTATTGTAGCTAATATAAACTGAACCATTCTAACTTAATATACTAGGGGAGACCGGGGTTCATATGAGCCTGTAGTTTTGATGAGTCTGGTTCTTATAAGATTGGGATTTTTATCAGCATGGTGTTATAGAAAACCCTGTAGATTTTTCCTAGACCATTAAACTCTAATGTTTATTTTTTACTAATATTATAATATTATTGTTTTTATAATTTTAATCAATTATTGATAATTTGCTTCACGAATAAATAAAATTAACTTGTAATGATATGGCGACCCCACCATTATCTGCTATATTGTCTCCTAATGCTAGTTTGCCGTTCAGCTTTAAATATTTTATGAGTTACATAATATATATTATAGTTATAGATATTATACTGTTATATATTAGAAATATTAATAATATGAAAAATATTTATTCACCGGCCACACGCTACATTATATACAAATTAAATTCGTATTTCATATGGTGAACATTAAGTCCGAACTTGGAATATTTTAAACGTTGTTTTGTAAACAACAAGACAAAAAAAATATATAACTCTCAAAGGCAAAAAATATGAAATAATCCTAAAACAGATCGCTTTTATTCTATCTATATGAGAGAAGATAAACCTTATGGCCATTAATCGAGTAATCTGAATATTGATCTTTATAACAATTCGTTTTGTCGACGAAAGATACTATTGATTTGTTGGTCCACCACAGGTTCCAGTTCCCATCTTTATCGAATTTCCTACCTATAAATTGTCAATTTCAGTTATTATTATTATTATATCTCATTAGGTGGGAAAAACGTGAGTAATTAAATGGGTTATTTCCTCATCTAACCAAACTCTAACCTTACCTTATCTTACCCTACCATACCTTACCTTTAATATTCTTTCCTACCTTACTTTTTCCTTTTGCCTTTATATATATTTTTTTAACATAATATTTACCATTATCATCAAAACCATGTGTTATTTCATGAGATATAATGGATCCTATAGCTCCAAAAAGATATGGGCTATAAAATGAATAATATATTTATTTAGTATATACATATATGTAATTTTTACTCTGGATAGGCTTTATCATAGTACGGTTTTCGCAAAATTCCAGCCAAAAACACTTGTATTATATATATAATATACATATATAAAATGTGCCATTTATTTAAATTTTTTTTATATATATTTAAAACGATGAAAACCTATTTCATTTTTGGAAGGATAGTAATATGCGTTAACGGAGTGAGGAGGTAAAAACCACCTATTATATATAAAAAATATAATTAATTGTATATAAATTCATATCCTATTTTGATGGAAACGACAAGAAAAAATTTTAACAAAGCTATCAAGATTTGCTAGAAAAATATTGGAAATTCCAGCAACCAGTGCTTCTTCTGAACGAGGAATTAGCATGGCTGGAAAGGTTTTAAGTATATTTTATATTATTTCATAAATATTTTATTAGATCAAATAAATTCCTTATCCCTAATTTAAATGGAATATTTTATTTTATGCTTAATATAGCAATTTTCAAAATTATAAAACTTTTTTTTTAGGCATGAACCGCTGAAACTAAATCATTTTTTATTTTATAAGATATTAAAAAAATTGAAAGAATGAGCTTATATTTAAATTTTATAGTGTGGCGTGGGTTAATGAACGGGTGGGTAAAGAATTTTATAAATTGGTGGGCGGGTATATTTTTTATTAACTAAGGGCGGGTTGAGCGGGCTGGTTAAATTTTTTAAAAGACGGGCAGGCTTGTGGGCTAAAAATCCGCTTATTGCATCTCTAGTTGCAATAATTTATATAATTTTTACATATTGAAAAAAAATCTATATTTTGTAACTCAAAAACTCCTAACGGGAAAGCTTATTCTTCCTCGGATGTAGTTTTCATCCTTTCCCCAATTTTTTTTTCTGGAATAATGAATACCGTTAAAAAATAAATATTTCAAAGAATTATTTTTGTGTATATAGCATAAGTGGGAATGAATTTTTTTATACATAATTATTTACAAATATCGTATTGGGATATTGAATCCATGGGAATTTTTTTAATCCCTTTTAATTTTAAATAATTTGTTGAAGACGATTTTTAAATTTCGAAAATCTGATTTGACCAGAAATATATTCCATCCCATATGGAATAAGTATCCACACTGAGAATTTCAAACAATTGTGTCGTAAACATTTGAAACCACACTTAAACTTATATTCATTTTTATATAGATTTTTTCATAATCAAATCAAATTTTCCAAATTTAAAAAATTCCTTCAGAACTCCAAATCACAGTGGATTTTATACCCCATTACGAAATTATATACAGTTATCTTGTGTATGAATAATTATCTAATAAAAAATATATTTTTAAAAAAAAAATTAAAATATTGTTCTTACCGTTTCTTATCGACAGGCCTAAAAACTCTATTGATCACGTTTACTTCGTTTACCCTTTTTTGGCGAAAGAAATTTTTAAAGAAAGTGTCACCTCTCATATCTAGCTTTTTTTTTATATAAAATAATTATAAAGGAGAAAATGAAAATAATATTTATAATTAATATACAAAAAAAATATTGGATTAATTTTCTAAAATTAAATTTAATTGGAAGACCGGTATATGTAAGACAAAATTTTAGGGTGTGTTCCTTATTTCACTAATTTTTTAGGATTAATAAATAAATTTTAACCAAAAGTGATATAAGGATTTGAAAAATATTTATTATTTTTAATTTTTATAAAGGTATATTATCGAAAGCGTTAAATATCTCAATAAAAAGATTTTAGGAAAGTTTGCATCCTATTTTTTTTAGTCTGATAATTTTACAGAATTATAAAACAAATTAATATGATTTTAAATAGCATTGATGTTGGTTGGTTTTTATTAATTATTGCATTATATTTTATTTTAATTGAAACGGTATGCGGAAAATAATTCCCCAAAAAAAAAAATTCCCCGGGAAAAATATCCCCAATAATAATTCTTAGAGAATAATTCTCCGGAATTGATTTTCTTAAAATTTTTAAATGTATTATTTGAGGATTTTTATTCCACGGATATATTTATTGGGAATTTTTCTCCTATTTTATTAAATTTGTAATTTTTAATAGCAGGAAAAAAAAGGAGATTTTTTCCTGGGAATTATTTTTATAGACTCTATTTATCTTGAAAGTATAGAACTTATCAAGGTGAGCCCCAAACCCCCAGTCTCCCCTCAAATAGTGTTGCTAAATAGCTCGATTTGAGACGTTTTTTACTCATATTTACTAAACCTCTAGATTTTTTGTTTAATAGATATCCAAATCTTTGTGCCATCTAAGCAAAATAAGGCTCTTATGTAATATTTTTCTGGATAAAATATCGGGATAGCTATATTTAAAAATCGGCTAAAATAGAGCCGTTTAAGAAACACTAAACACAAACAATGATCTAATATTGATATAGTATACTAAATTTTTGTAAGCTGCATTTTATTTATATACTCCTTGATAATCTTGGTCCAATTCAACGGGATCTACTACGTATTCAGGATAACCTATTTTGGATTTCAGCGAATCAACCTAATTATATTTATTAATTTTGTTAAAATTTTTAATATTATTTACAATTTTTTTTTTAATGCTAAAATTGTATTATTCATTTATCTTTAAAACATGTAAACAAAATATAAAAAATAAAAAAATGAATATATATATATTAAAAGTGAATGTATATTTTAAAAATATCGATGGCTCTAAAAAGAGCTTATAGTAAAAATGTTCCTAAAAAACAGGTATAATTATGTTTAAAAATTTCTAATTGGAGTTTAAGACCAAAAAAAATGTAATCTTGTTAGATGAGGGTTTTTGTATACCTTATTTTCCATTTATTATTACCCTCATCTAGCAAGATTACATTTTTTCAACTACAAATGTAGAAAATATTTTTAATTTGGCATTTAAAGACAATTTTACTAGAAATTATGTAATATAGATATATTGAAAATCTACAAATATGATCAAATTATTTGTATAATGAAGATACTAAATATATACTTGACTAACATAATCAAAATAAAAGTAAATTTCTTAACTCATGTAAGATAAGTTGATTCCATAATCAAATAAAGGATAAATGTGTTATTACCCGTCATTCTTGACGGGTTATCAGCTAGTTATAAATAAAAGACTATTAAAAAATAAAGTAGAATATCTTATTACTATAAATCAGGCGCGTACGCAGCGGGGGGGGGGGCAGGGGGCAAATCCCCCCCAAAGCCAGAAAATGCAGATGCCGGATTATATTTTTCAAAAATATTATTGTTAATATTAATTTATATTTGTTAATATTTATTCTTATCTCATATATACATATATATATATATATATATATTTAATTACATTTATTTATCACATTCATCTACTAAGTTATTTTATCAATCAATTTCGATTTCAAGTTTTCCTTGGTGTAATTTACCTATTATTTTCAAATTTTAGTGGCGTAATATTTATCTAAATTTCTAATAAAATAATAATTATCTCTGAAACTCCTTGTCCAACAGGGAGAAAAAAATTGCAAGCTTGTCCAACGAGATCGAGTCTCCGCCACAGTAACAGCTATTTTGGAGTTAGAAGAGCTGATTATTAATGCTATTACTGAAATATCACAATGGCTTGAAAGAAATATTTCCTCAGAAGCAAGAAAATTATTGGTTTCAATACTTATTCCAAATTTATTTTCTCATTAGAATGTATTATTTAATTATACAACTATTTTATGTAATACTTTTCAAAAACATAACATTGACTTGATTAAGAAGATGAGAATAGCGGAGAGCATTTTATTAGAACTCAAGGAAATAGAGCTAGTGTTGTTGAAGAATTTCATATTTTATATGTTATTGTTGAGTCAAAAGCAGAGCTATACGTGTTAAATATTTGTCCCCCTCGACTTGCAGCAAGCAAGCTCATCATCAAAACATTAATATAGGATCAGTAGAAGAGTATTATAAAACAAATGTCCCCTCTCCCAACCTTTTTCATATGGTGATAGAAAAAAATGTAAATATTTGTTATATTTTTATCATGAAGATGTTAAAATATCTTATGATGCTTAGCTGAATAACTATGATTAAAAGATTAACTATGGTTGATACAGTCCCAAAAAATGCTATGGATGCTTTTTATTTCAAACACATTTTAGATTATACTCCCAATTATTAAAATGGTTATATATATATTAGCAGCTCTTTAGTAAACTAATGAGAGAACATTCACTTTTTTAAGAAGAATAACAGAGCCTTGCAGAGGTACCATTTGCAGGACCAGGCCCAGATTTTTTTAAAAATTTTTTCCGGCCCGGGTTTTTTTTAAAAAAATTTTCAGGCCCGGCCCGGCTAGCCCAGCCCGAATTTTTTAAAATAAATTATATTTATTTTTGATATTTATAGCTAATAATGGCGATTTCAAATATTTGGTTTTAAAATATACAACTCGGCTCGGATATTTTTTCTTAAAAAATTTTCAGGCCCAGCCCGGGTGTTTTTTTAAAAAAAAATTACGAGCCCGGCCCGGGTATATTTAAAAAAATTAAAATTCGAAGGCCGGGCCTGCAAGTCTGTGAAAAACATACCTATGAAATACAACATCTGAAAGTAGATTGAATGATTTGGATCTTTTGAATATTCATAGACATTTAACGCCAAGCAAGGATTGATAATTGAAAAATTAGCTCAAAACATACAAAATACAATTATTCCCAAGAAACTTTTTGTGTATTAATTTATATTTACAACATTTAAATTTTTTATACTTTATATATTTTAAAAGCTCAAAAAATTCAAATTTCAATTTTGGGTCATTTAAGTGATTCATATCGTGGGTTATATTCACTTTATATTTTATGATTCACATTTAAATGCCGGTTTATATATATAATTTTTTTAATTCACATTAGTTTAAAATTGTGTATTAGAAAAGTTATTAATCCTAGTAAATTTATGCTTAGTATTTTTAATTAAAAATATTATTTCTTAAAAAAATTTATTATCCCCCCCCCCCCCCCCCCGCGTACGCGCCGCTATAAATGTTATATTTTTTTTCCCCAATTTAAATCTATAAATATCAGTCCAAGATTGTGAGGATATTTTTTTATTATGTACGTTTAAAAACTTACTGCAAACAAACGCTCAATTTGTTCAAACTATAGAGTAATATATAAATCCTATGACACCCATTATTTATTAAAAAACAATACAATTGATGTATCAACTATTTTATGGAAATAAATTTTTAGAATTCATTAAAATAATTTTATTGATATTCCCCTGACTTTTAATGAATAAATTATAAGTTTAATGTAAAAATTTTTTAAAATAAATTTAAAGGTGAATTTGTTCGTAACAATGCTAAAAATAGGAATGTTGACATATTTTTATTATTATCTTGTTTACATATTTTGTGCTCTCATCAGGCGCAGCGGGGGGGGGGGTGGGTGGGGCAGAGAGTCACAATGGCCTGAAAGATATATTTCTTCAGAAGCAAGAAAATTATTGGATTCAATGCTTATTCCAAATTTTATTTCTCATTAGAATGTTTTATTTAATTATACAACTATTTTAAATATTATTTTTCAAAAACATGACATTGACTTGATTAAGAAGATGAGAATAGAGGAGAGCATTTTATCAGAACTCAAGGAAATTAGGGCTAATCTTGATGAAGAATTTCATATTTTATTGTTGAGTCAAAAGCAGAGCTATACGTGTTTAATTTGTCTCCCTCGACTTGTAGTAAGACAAGCTCATCGTTAAAACATTAATACAGGATCAGTAGAAGAGTATATCTTAGATACAGATATATTTATAACCCAAATAAATGAATTTTTGATTCATCATGCAGCACTGACTAATCTGCAAATATTACTTCCACAAAAGCCTTCCCAACCTTTTTCAGATGGTGATTAAAAAAAAATATTTGTTAGATATTTATCATGAAGATGTTAAAGTATCTTATGATGTCTTACTAGCTGAATAATAAAAGGGTTTATAAACTCTTCCCATTAGTAAACTAATGAGAGAACACTCTCTTTTTTAAGAAGAATAACAGAGGCCTGCAGAAGTACCATTTGCAGGGCACGGCCCGGATTTTTTTTAGAGATTTTTTAAGGCCCGGCCTGGGTTTTTTTAAAAAAATTTCAGTCCAGGCCCGGCTTTTTTTAAATTTTAAGCCCGGCTCGGCTTTTTTTAAAAAATTTTCAGGCCCGGCCCGGCTTTTTTAAAAATAAAATTTTCAGGCCCGGCACGGATTTTTTTAAAATAAATTATATTTATTTTTGATTTTTATAGCTAATAATTACGATTTCAAATATAGGCTTTTTTAAAAAATACAGCCCGGCCTGGGTGTTTTTAAAAAAAATTAAAATACTGTCCGGCCCGGGGGCTGGGCCTGCAGGTCTCCGAAAAACATACCAAGAAGTACAACATCTGAAAGTAGATTGAAAGGTTTGGATCTTTTGAATATTCATAGGGATTTGACGACAAGCAAGGATGAGATAATTGAAAAATTAGCTCAATCCCAACGAAGATTGGATTTTACATTGTAAATATATAACATACAAAATACAATTATTCTTAATCAAATTTTTATTTTGGGTCATTTAGGTGATTTCTTTACATATAATTTTTTTATAATTCACATAAATTTAAAATTGTGAATTAGAAATAGTTATTAGTCCTAATAAATTTATGCTTGATATTTTTAAAAAACAATATTTTTTAAAAAAATTTATTATCCCCTTCCCCCCTACCCCAGACCAAATTCCCACGTACGCGCCTGGCTCTCATAATAAGAGTTTTTATTCGAGAACAATGGTGAATTTTATATATAAGTATGATAAAATTTGTATCTGTATGTAGATACGTTTTTAAATGGTGTATCTTTATCTAGATCCATTTTTAACCGATGCATCTGAATCTAGATCCATTTTAAAGAGTATCTTATAACAACTATTAAATATTCGATATATGAATTATCTATTTGAAATAAAATTTAACCCTTTAACTAACTTGGTGGGGTCTATATGACCCGATACGTGTTTAAAATCAATTTTACATAAATGCTTATCGTGACCTCAAATCTTCAGGGGATTCATTAAAATTAATCTTAAAAATATATTATCCAAGATTTTTTAAATTTAATTTAATTTCGGTATTATCTTCGTTTATCATTTTTTTCCCCCCATCAGATTATATATGGGAATTTTAGGAAAAAGAAAATTTCTGTATGAAATTAAAAATTAAGGCTTATTTATGTTTTGTACTAAGGAAAAAAAATTTCCCTCATTTTTAAGTAGTCAGAATATTTTTTAAAAAAATTGCCTGGGTCGTAAATATCTTAAATGGCCATTATTATCTATAAAAATAAAATTTTACTAAAATTATACTTTTTAAAGATTTTTTTTTTAAAATAAACCTTTTCCATAGATTTAATCTTCGTGAGTTCATCCATCCAATCAAGATTTTTTAAGCGTTCTTTATAAGCCACCTTTATCAAATCAACCATCCCTTCCACCTAAAAATCAAAATTTGGTTATGAAATTCGTGATTAGTAATAAATATTTTTACTTTAGCTTTATCCTTGGAATTAAAATTAGATCTCAGATATAGGGAACTGAGCGGGAACTGCATGAATTTAGGCCATTCCTTGAGGCATTTTTTCCAAACCGGCAATTCTTCGTAATCTTCTTTATTATTCGCCCTTTGAACCGGGCCAAAGGCATCCCTGTAATTTTGCGATAGGTAATTTGTGAGTGGTTTTGTCCGGTGCCACATTATGTAGTCGTTTAATACTCTGGTATTTTTAAGAGTATATATTTAGATATAGTTTTAACATGATTGTTTTTTTATTATTTAAATTGTGAATATTCTTTTAAAAAAATATAAAAATACGAAAATTAGTGGGTAAGACCTCGTTTATAGTAGCCGCGATGAAGGTTAGGAAACGCGCTGAGTATCGCTAAGCGATGTCACAGCTGATTTTTTTGAAGCAAATTGTCTCACCGCATTACTTAACACTACTATAAATGCTTTTAATTATTCTGGATTTTTGTTACGCATTGTAATGGAGAGTAATATCGAATACCCATTTTAGAAAATATATTTTATAATTTTCATATTGTTAATAAAATACTTTACTTAGACAATTTTGGATCATTTAAATAACGCTTGACAAGAATAGTTAGCTTTTCCATGTAGGGCAAGGACCTGACCCAAAAAGGGTGATCGGGAGATAAGGATAGATTATGAGGTCCAAAAATTTGATTTGCGTATCTTGTCCAATTCATCTATGTGATAATTGAATATTTTAAATTTCCTTTATGATGATTATTTGTTGGTTTGTCAGTTAGTTTTGAATCGTTAACATAAAAAAATTTCATTTAAATTTCTACTCAAATATTTTGTCCCCACTCTATAGCACTTATCCTTTTCATTTTCATTACCCTGATATCCTTTTCCATTAAAAAAATTTAGGCGGAAATCGTAGTAGAGAAGCGTTACGACCTGACCTAACAGCTGATCTAGCTTATAAAGTTTTTAAATGCAATAGACATTTCGTTAATAATATTAAAAATTCTTATATTAACAGGATTCGAATTAAATACAACATTAATAAAACGATAATAAAAGATTTTGATACATCTAAAATATTTTATAGACTCAAATCAGTTGTTAAATCGTTTGATTTTTCTTGTGGTTGTCAAATTTGGCCGATTAAAATGGTAAAATAAATTATTGAATGATAGTTTATAAAATTTATAAACAATAAACTAAGTAAGTGTGTCCAGCTTTAAAAAAAAGTTCTAAAAAAAATCTTTTATTTTTAAAAAAAACTTACGAAATCAAATTTTTCGTCCAACTCTTTCAGCGACATTACGACATATCGCGATTCGTCAAAAGTGTAAAGAGTTTTCAGTGGTGGAGTGATCTGAATTAAAATGGGTATAATGTATTATATTTGATATATAACATAAATCAGATTGTAATTTTAAATAATGCGAAAGCAAAAAAAAATGTATTGTTACCTTTTGTCAATTAAATCAAAAATAATTTATAAATATCGCTATACGCGCAAGTTTCATCAAGTCAAAAAAAACAAACTCTTTTTAACACTCAAACCAACTAAACATCATTTTATATTTGCTTAAAACTAATTTACAATCTATGGGATTTCAAACATTCTTATATACTAACATTCCTTCATGAATTTACCAAAATATTATTTTAAAATAATAAAGATAAAAACAATTTTTTCTTAAAAAAGGACCAAAGCTTAGCTTTACCTCTATTTGGAAAAACAGAATGCACACTATTTTTTTGGTTTTTTAAAAATATAGATTTGCTTATAGGGTGCATATTTATATATATTTTTGAATCTAAAAAATTATAAATAATTGTCTAAATAGAAATGTGATTTTTAGACTAAAAAAAATGAGAATAACATATTCAAAATCTTATTTTGCTTTCTCTGTTCAGAATTACGAGCAAAAATTATGACAAGAAGTTTAAGTTAAAAAAAATAAATATTTTTTAAGGGGGTTACTAACTAGAATAAAATTAACGGCGTTATAGCGGGGAAGGGGGGCTTGACATACATATGTATTTAAATTAATAATGTATTTATTTTTTTACGTTAGCGATAATTCTCTCGAATTCCAGAACGTTCGACATAACGTTTTTGAGTTGATCACCCATCTGTTTCTGTCGATCTTCTTCGTTCAGCAAATCGTGAGTCTTATTAATGTCTATATAACTCAATTTTTTCTCCTTCTCTTGTGAGTCAAATTTTTTGGAAACGTGTTGACTGTTCGATAACAACAAATTTCCAATGTTTGTCATGTACTTCAAGTAGGCATTGTAAAGTTTTAGATTCCTAGGCGTGGCATTGACATCGTAGATGTCCCTGTTTGGGAGAGTGAGCTTGCCTACAGAGATGGTGAGTAAATATCTGGAAGAGTTTTTGGGATCTATGTTCAAATCGAGACTAAATAATTCAGTATCCGATTCGTTAGCGAAACCGCTATCGGGGAATCTGACTTTATTTAATAAATGAAAGAAGAAGGAAAGTTAGATCTTTATTTAATATAATGTTGTTATATCACTATATTACAACATAATTAATCAAAAATGATGTTACTTCATTCTTGTTTATTTTTTACATGTGATATGCCAATAACGTTAAACAAAAAAAAATCCCCTTAGTAAATGCTCCAGTATGGACCTTATACTTAAATGAAATATAACATTATGCATCAGCCAAACTCTCATCTTAAAATAAGTATAGCTTCAATTATAAACTTATACATATAAGGCGATAGAAGAGCGAATTACCGACATTCGTAGAAACTCCTAATATTATTGGTTAATTTTGTTTGAATTAAATTTAATGAAAAAAAAATTAAATTATGCTTATTTACATCACAATTTAATATAAATATTTTCTATATATTAATTCTTTTTAAATTAAATAATTTGTTTTATCCCAATACCTAATTGACTTAAGCTTTCCAGAGAAACTTAGTTTCATTCCATCTCTTCCTTAAAATTTGCTTTATAGTAATCATCAACTTTGATTGAGTTATTTTTTATTTAATACTAAAATTTTAAGACATTAAATATAATTCTATAATGATATGCAGTAACAATGAACATTCCGAATATGGCCATTTATTCGCGGCAATGGCCTATTAAAAGGACCCGTCTTGGGGAGATTGTAAGGCCTCAGAAATTTTGTTTTACTAGGATTTCATTTTATTTCGTATTTTATTTATTTTTGTTAATTTTAGATCTTGGATTTCCCTTTTTCGATAATATTTTTCGGGTCCTAAAATATTTTATTGGTTTATGGACACTGCCAAAATTGCATTCAAATATTTAAATATGTTCAAAAAATAACATTGAATGGCAACGTTTTTTTAGGACTCAATCAGTGTATTTTATGTAAAATATAAACTTAAATACTTTGTTTGAATCCGGAAGATTCGTCTATAAAAGGGGAAGGTTTATTATCGGCGTTAATCACGTCCCAGCCCCCATACAATTCCAATAGATTGATTAAAGGATTTCCTTGTAATTCTTCCCTAGTGTTGGCTTTATCTATACAAGAATCATAATATATTTTGGCTTGTCTCTCGGCTTCTCCTTCGTATTTGGTGTTTGGATTTTCTTTATTTATTTATTTGTAAATATTTTTGAGATATATTTACGCGTAAGGTTTGCCCATTAAAAGAATTTATGATAATATTAAATTTTTTAAAAATTAACTATAAACTTTTCTATCACTTCTTTTTAAATCAAATTAAATGCATCTTTCATTCCTCCACCCCCTCCCATTCATTCATTTATCCATCCATCCACCCATCGATCCAATCCAATCCATCCAACCATCCACCCACCCACAATATTATCAATTTAAACTCAGTTTATTTTTAGTGGTCTTTTATTCAGGATGCAATATATCTGTTTAAAATGTAATGAGTCGGATTTTTTTTTTAAAACTTAGAGAGGTATAAAATAAACACTAATGTTGCAAGAAATAATTAAATTACAAATTTATTTTATTTAAAAAATTTGGTAGACTTCATAAGGTGGATGGATGCAAATTTCAAGTTAACTAATTAATGATTAATTTTACCTAATAAATTTTTGATGATCAAAAGTATCGTTTCGTAATTTTGGGTAAATTGGTTCCATTGATTATAACCGACAGGAATGGAAGTGCTTTTAATGTAACCTCCGCAAGCGAATTTGTGAAAATCTGTGCATGGATCTATACTTTGATCCATCAAGGATGTTATTTCACTCATGTTAAAAGTATTGGTCAGATCTTTTTTAAAAAATAAAAATATATGTATGACATTCTAAAACGAAAATAGTTTTATAAAACTAAATTATTACAATAGTCTAAAAATTGTCACCAGAAAACTTTCGGAAAGATTTCCTTCCTCCAAATGAAAATTACAAAAAAAATTGTCTTTAATTACTAATAACGAGTGGCGTGAAAATTATGTTTTTTAGAAATATTAAAGAAAATATTTAAGTTTCTAAAGAAATTTCTAATTATAAAAATATTGGCCTAAAAAACATTGCCTTTAAGTGTAAGGAAGAGAATTTTTTTTAGTATTTATTAATAACTATACGGACGTTTTACAATGCTAATTCGTCAATTTCCTAATAAGAATTGGAATCTTAGGGTCTTTCAAAGAGCTACAAGGGAATTGCAACTACGATATTTCTAGTTTAATATTTTGAATGTTCCAAAGAGTCGTTAAAACTAAACGTATAAAGAAAATCTTTCACACGTTTGGAAAACTGGAATTTCATAAAGAATAAGATTAGAAATGGGGCCAAGATTCATAGATAAAATGAGCTAATCTGGAGCAAGCAAGCCTTTTATATGATAATATTTCCTTCTTTTTTTCTATTTCGGGGAATTTTTTTTGTATCAAATTTTATTTTTAAACACCCTTTAAATCAGGATTTAACAAAAATTTTCAAATGAGCATTCGAAGATTTTTCTTCGCTCAAAATTTTGAGTATAAAATATCTAAAGAAAGAGCAAGGATTTTTGAATATTTTTGAATTTTGAGCAAATTGTTAACCATGCTTTAAATAGATAAGTTATATATTATTTATATATAAATAATGTATGTAATTTGGAGAAATATAATATTTTATTTTCAGATAAATTGCCTTTTAAATATGTTTCATTTTCTTGTTTAAAATTTTTTTATAATAATTGGAAAAATATCTTTCTATCGTTTTTCAAAACAGTTGAATAAATTATTAAACTGGCTAATAGTAACAGTATAATTTTCTAATCATCTTCCAAATAATCTATAAAAATAAGGAAGAAAAAAATTTAAGACAGTTATTAGATGGAGACGCTCAAAGGGGAAAGAATTTATATTATTCAAAAAGATGATATTTCTAAAAGGTAGCATATTTAACACAACAATGCTCTTATACTGCTTTCCTAGTGGAATGGACAACCGATCGGTAATACCATTTAAAGATGATATAAATGTTCATAGTAGCATATGTCTTGATACGAATCGTCTCGAATAATATATCCGTTAAGATATTCAAATTAGAGATATGCAAAAGTAGGCCCAATCCGTACTCAACCCAGGCCAAACGGATTTCGAGCCAATTTTTTAAAAAAAGAAATCGAGTTCGGGCTGGGCCGGGCCAAAAATAAATTCGGGCCGGGCCGGCCCAACTTTTTAAAAAATATATCGGGGTCGGACCGGCAAAATTTTTTGAAAAAAATTTCCGGCCGAGAGCCGGGCTTGAAAAATTAGGCCCGATACAGATCACTAATTCAAATCTAGGTAATGAACATTTATATAATTTCCAATGAGATAGACTTTCGACGGATCGGATGTTCGATTCCACTATGGCTTCCTTAGTCTAGTTTTTGTAATTATCCCTCACCCGCCACTAACCCATAAAATTGAATAATTGCCTCTTCCGTCTCTAGGAATAATACCCTTTATTATACTACATATGTATATACTATATAAAAAGAAATTTACTATTTTCTTGAGTTGAATATCCCGGAATATTAAAAAAAATAGATGCTAAGAATGTTGCTATTAATATCGATAAGCTGTAAATCGAGTTAAAATCCTGATTAGCCATTTCAAAATTATTATAAAATTTAAAACTATTTTTTTAAAAAAAATAAATTTGATGGGAATGATTTTTACACTTTTTATAAAAAGTTGTTCAAATTTTTTTTTTTTTAAGAAAAATGATTAAGAATTTGAATATTTTCAAATTAATTAAAATTATTCCGATAAAATATTTAAAAAATATAAATATAAAGTTAAAATTAATATTAATATTTTAATCTAAATAAATTTGTCGATTAAAAAAAAGTTTTCTTTTTTAAAAGAAAAACATGAAAATGATTGTGTTTAAATAAAAAAATAATATATAATATCTTATTTTTTTTTTAGCTTGAAGGAATCGATCACTTTATTTTGTGATATATTTAAATTTAATTGATATTTGAAAAATTTAAATTATGATATGAGTTTGGGATTTTAATGTAAAAAGGCTATAATCGATAACCGATCAATCAATTCCATGATCATTGATCAGGAATTTATTTTTTATTTAAATTATAAATATGAAGGGGGGGGGGAATATGACTAGGTTTGACCTATTGAATTGGAAAATATAATATTCACTATTTGATAAGATTAGTAGTAGTTAGATAAAATGTAAAATTAATAACTTTTTTAAAATTATAAATAGATAGTTCAAGGATTTAATGCCTTTGTTTCCATCAATTTACAAAAGATGGGATTCCTATCACTACTATATTATACTATTTGACCAAGATGAGTAAGGGATGGGTGGAGAGATATTTATTAAGAATATAAAAAAAATTATTTTTATTTTGTTTACACTTCTTCTTTTTTTAAAAAATTTTTTTGAATTTATTTTGATTTGATATTTATAATCTAAATGATGAATATGTTTGGTATGTTTTGAATTGCAATTTAAATAATATTTCAAGTTTTATATAATATTACGATATCGGGACTATTTGGGATTAATTTCTTCATATACTATCTAAATCTATTTATTTTAATTCTGATAATATAGGAAAAGCCTGGGGAAGGGGGGGGGGTGATTCTTTCTTGGAAAAATCGTTAACAAATTTTGCCTTTAAAATATTTCTCTTTATAAATTTTTATCTAATATACACATTTATAAAAATAGATGATATGCCTACTAAATAAAAATCTTAAATCTGGTCTATATATATTGACTTGGTTTTTTTCTGTTGACTCCAATTTTATTTGCTAAATTGAAAAAGTTTATGCATTTTAATGGCAATAATTTATAGATGTAATCCATTTTTATTTTGAGCAAAACAACTTACATTTTTATTTTTATAATTTAAAAAAAAAGTTCTTGTCAGATTGGTAAAACTGAACCTAGGGTCCAGGGGAAAGATTAATATAATTATTTGTATATAATTATGGAAGTCATTTCAATATATATTTTTTGCAATATATTTCAGTTATTATATAACTTTTTAAATAGCTTATTAATATAATAATATTAAATATTTTATTTAAAAACGTATTCCAAGTATAGGATGTTCATTTATGGAGTTTCGATAATATAAAGCTGAGATAATTGCTTTTTACTATAATTAGAGCCATCTTCTGACGTAGGTAGTAACCTCCGATGGGATCCTTGGTCCTAACTGAAATCCGGTGCTCTAACTCGTATTCTGTATACGATACGATCATTTATTTCATATGAATAGTTATTGGGAATTAATTTTAGGTTTCAATCAAATTAGCACTTAAAAAAGGTTAAATAAATAAATAAATATTTTGCTTTGAGTATACCATAATAGGGCCAATTCCCTGCTAACTGAGTATTAACTAAATAAATATTTTTTTTTTTACTATGAAAGAAAGTATTGGGTTCTTTCAGTTTTTACTCATCACTTATCTAAATAAAAATATATTTATTCTTACTTTGGGTTTTAAATTTCCAATATAGGATTGATTTATCATTTATAACTGTAAGTTATATTCTTTACAATTTAGACCCAAATAATTAATAATGATGCTATAGATAAAGAAGAAGAAGAAAATGATGATAAAGAATTAGAAGAAGATTTGCATCTCATATTTCAGGCCACTATATTTAAAACAACATTATACCACAAAAAATTAGAATCTTGGTAGAATTTTCCAAAGATGGAAAGAAATAATCAATTTTTGAATGAATGTTGATATCACTAAATCGAAGATTTAAAAATAGATTCTTAATTTGAATTATTATATACCTTTTAAATGATTTTTATAATAAAAATTTGTATTTAAAATGTCGTGAAAATAAATGAATAATTTTAAAAGTATATATTTAACACTTCTGCTATACATTTTATATTATTTATAATAACTTTATAAGAGACCGATAATCTTATATAATTAGAGAAAATTACATATACTATTCAGAGGAAATTATTGATTAAAATAATGATTGCGTGCCAACAACTTTGAATTTTGGGTTACATCTTAAAATATTCGGTCATATTTTATATATATAATTTATAATAATTAATTTATTATGCATAATTATTTTAAAGAATAAATTTTAAAAGGGTAATCACAGGCATTCTTGTATGTTTTGAAACATTTTATAAATATATTATGTAAATTTGCAATAAAGATACAATAACAAAAACATAATAAATTTGGGTACATGATAAGGACTTCAATAAGTTAAAATAATAATTTTTTTTTCTACAAATTTAAACTGATCACAGGCGAACTTCAACGAAGGATTCCACCTCCGTCAGCAGATTTCTCTTGAAATCTGCCGGTCCAATTTTCTAAGCATTTACTCCTCTCTAGGGTGATGATATGCATCTATTTTTAAAGTTCTTTTAAATATTTTTCTATATAAAATTTATAAATTTAATATTTATTTTTTTTAATATAATTTTTTTAATATATATTCCTTTTTTTTATAAATATATTTTTAATTTGTCTATTGTACATATTTATGTTTAAATTTTTTAAAATTGAAACCTCTTTTTTAAAAATAAAAAATTTACTATTAAAAAAAAAGGTATGTGTTTATAATTATTAAAAAAAAAATTTCTGCATTTTTTGTATGTTTTGAAACATTTCATAAATGTATAAATTTCTATTAAAGATACAATAGCAAAAATAAAAAATAATTTGGGTACAATCCCCATTGTTTAATGAATCCAGGTTTGTTTAATATCATTCTAAGAGCTGAAGTTTATTAATTCAAAATTATTGTACGAAAATTTTTGTCACTCGTAAGAATTGTTACATGACAATATTTTAAGGACCAAATACGCTGCCAAATTTTTAATAGCCAGCTTTTTCGTAAATTATTACATCACAGCTCAATTTGAATTTTATTGGAAAATAATTGGGGCATCCATGAAAAATTATAGTGCCATAATAAATGAATCAAGTTTTCCAAAATATTTAAGCATAATTTTATTCTTTGCATATAATCTTTATGGTAAAAATACAAGTTTTTTTTATTAATATAAAATTTTTTTAAAAATGAAAATTTAAGAGAAAATTAAAACGTCCTGGGTACCTATTAGTCTTTCGGGACTTGTATTTTTTTTTAGTTAAAAAAAAATTGTATAAAAATGTTAATCCTAAGTAAATAAACGAAAATGCATTGTGTTAGGTGTATAGGTTCATCCATATTATATATCACACAGAAGAACTTATTGTCACTTAAAATTGCCATATAATTGTGGTGTCTAGTGTTGTTATAAGTATAGTTAATTTTTTAAAAAAAATAAATACCTTAAAGATAGTTAACACGTATCCCGCCATAACCTGCCCCCCCCCTCCAGGTCTTCACATTTAATTAAAATTTAATTTCAAGATATTAAATTACAAAAAATACTGTAAATTTTTTTTAATGATAAAATTGAGATTAGTTTATCATTTAGAATGTATTTTACAAAATTAAAAAGTAATTTTTGACGTATTAAAATTTTAAATTTGCATTTAACACTTTTCATGAGAATATTTCTGAGCAACAGAAACACTAAAGCATCTAATTAAAATACAAATATGGTTTTAAATTTAAAATATCGAAGTTTATTATTTTAAAAATTACTTGTCTCGGAACAACTATCCTCGGTCTCCCATATACATATATTTTAAAAATATAATAATTTAAAAAATTTATAAGATATCGTTGATTTTCACATTCGTATTTTTAAGTTATTTTTCTAATTCGTGTGATTATGGCCACCCTTGATGATTTTGTCATGATATTATAAAAAGTGTGGCATCCCAATCTGATAAATATTTATCTAATAAATGTAACATCATTAAATCTGCCATGTATATATATTTAACGAATTTCTATCTTATGTGACTATTTTATTTATCAATCTAAAACATCGAGAGTCAGAAGATTTAATAAAATTTTCCACGAAATCATCTAAAGTCATTTGGGTTTATAATGATTTTAAAATTTTGCATAATATAGTAATTTATGTTCTTCTTCATGTGAACAGATTATTTGAAAAAGCCAAGCCTTATGTTTTATTGGCACAGAAATAGACTGGTAAATTCAAAAAGATAAATGGTAAACACATGATTTCAATACTAGAAAGTAGTCACTCTCTGCCAAACTAAAATAAATTTGATTACCAACGCTTTAAAACCTACTTGTACAGGTAGCAAATTTTTTTAATAATCGGCTCCAAAATTGATCTACCCATTATATTTTAATTTAATACAATGCATTTTAAAAAAATAATTATAATTATATTTAAAATTTTATTTTAAGCGAATTTTCAAGATATCTATCAAAATAATCATCAGAAATAAATAACAAACAAATCTTGAACCTTAAGCTAAAAAAGAGTACAATAAAATCTCCAGTGTTCGGGTTGAGGGTTCGGATTCTCAGTCCTGTTTATTATACAATATATTGGATACATTTATTCAAATAAAAAAATAATGGCATGGAACGACAAAATTATGTAAATTTGTATCTACTTTTACATGTAGTGTAGGTAAAGTAAAGGTCATAAAACGCAAGA